ACCCAGGCTAGAGTTCAGTGGTGCAATCTCAGTTCACTGCCACCTCTGCCTTCAGGGTTCAAGTGATTTTCCTGCTTCAGCCTCCTGAGTAGCTGGGATTACAGGTGTGTGCCACCACCCCTGGCTAATTTTTGTATTTTTACTAGAGACAGGGTTTCACCATGTTGGCCAGTCTTGTTTGGAACTCCTGACATCAGATGATCCACTCGCCTCAGACTTCCAGAGTGCTAGGATTACAGGCATGAGCCACCGTGCCTGGCCAACATAATGTTATATACACTATGGACAGGTGCATAAGGAGAGCAATAATTCCCATGATAGTTCAACTTCTGGGCTAAAAATTCTTCAGATTATATCTAATGTAAGGCCGGCTGCCTCGCAGAGGGTTAAACGGACACATCCATCTCTCTCTGCGCCTGATAACTACGTCATCACCCAAGCTCCTCATCTGGCCTCTCCGCACCCGCCTCCGCATAGCATACCCAAGCCCGCATTCAGCACTAAATTATGCATCCAACCCCCAGCCCACTGTTGAAAAACCCTGCAGAAAATTTTTTTAAAGAAGCCCCATCAAACCCTGCCTGGTAGCAGTCTGCCCTGTAGGGCCCCTCTCCCCACCTTCCACAAGCCCACTTACCAAGGTCCCGCCCGCCTACCAATGGCAACTAGCTTCAGGTAGTTCCTGCTTCTTAACAGCCAATAAGATTGCCTTCACTTTGTTTCCCCAATAGCCAATCAATTGCCTTCCCTTCCCATAAAACCCCATGCCCTGAACAGCCGGGTACAGCTTCTTTGGCCTCTTCCTGGACCACAGAACCTTGCCCGGGAGCTGAATAAATTAGCTTCCCATTTTCTTATATTTGCCTCAGTTTCCTCATTTTACCTCGGCAATAAACCTTACATCTAATATTTATTTTTATATCAATGTACACCTATGTAAATACATTCTTCACTGAGGAACCTTAGAAGGAAGCTTTGAAGTGGGAAATGGTTCCTGTTCTTGAGTAGGAAGTTTCATTTTTCTCAAGATGTGAGCTCTTTGTGTATCAACTTTACATAAACCAAATAAAAATATCAAAGTTTTAACATTTTAAAATGAAATTTGTCTGTCTTTTACTATTGTGATGACATTAAAAATTTTTTTTGTAGTGAGGTGAGAATGACTTGCCTTTCTGTATATAAAATGTGCTATTAGTTTCCACAAATTATTTATTAATAGCTGAAAAGACAGATAAATGAATGAAACAGAATAGAAGATCTACAATTGCCCAATCAGTGTGCATAATCCCAGCTCACGCCGGTAATTCTAGCATTTTGGGAGGCCGAGGCAGGTGGATCACTTGAGCTTGGGAGTTTGAGACCCTGACCAACATAGAGAAACCCCATTTCTACTAATAATACAAAAATTAGCTGGGCATGGTGGTGCATGCCTATAAACCCAGCTACTCAGGAGGCTGAGACAAAATCACTTGAACCTAGAGGTGGAGGTTGCAGTTAGCCAAGATTGTACCATTGCACTCCAGCCTGGACAAGAGCGAAACTCTGTCTCAAAAAGAAAAAAAGAATTGCCCAAATACATGTAAGCATTTAGAGCTTGATAATGGTGACATTTCAGATTAGTAGGAAAAGGCAAATTATTCGTAAATTAAATGCCTGCTGTTTGGATAAAACTTAACTAGAGTTTTGTGTCACAAAAATAAATTCCTGATGAAATATAGATCAAACATTTTAAATATACAAAATAGGGAAAGTACCAAAAGAAGACACACATGCGTATTTCTACAAATACATTTTTATGTTGACAAAACCTTCCTAAGAACTTCACAAGCAAGCATTCTAAAGGTTGATTTAGCAAAATAAAATTTAAACCCTCTATATAAGAAAAAAAGACAACCTACTTGCAAAATATTTATGACAGATACATATAATACATCAGATGAAATATGTATCTTCATATTACAGATAATTCAAATCAACAAGAAAATAATTCTAAATTTGGGCAAAGTACTTTTTTGCAGCTCTATAAGTGACCTATATACATAAGAAAAAAAATACTTAATGTTTCTTTTTTCTTTTTTTTTTTTTTTTGATGAAGATATAAAGACAGGGTTTCACCATGTTGGCCAGGCTGGTCTTGAACTCTTGACCTCAGGTGATCTGCCTGCCTCGGCCTCCCAAAGTGCTGAGATTACAGGCATGAGCCACCACGCCTGGCCTAAGGTTTCTTATAAGAGAAGGAATTCATGTTAAAAGAGAAATAAAATACTGTTTCCTATCCACAAAGTTTGTGAGGATGAAGACAGTGGTACTTATATAACTGCTTAAAGTTTAAGTTGCTAATGACTTTTCAAAAAGAGAATTTGGTGGTAAGCACCACATTTAAAAAACATGTATGCCCTTTGCTCATCAATTTAATTATGCTGAAATATCTGTAAATAAAGATACATCCAATTTGTTTTTCTCAGTACTGCTTAAAACCTCAATGTATTAAGAAGAACACATAGGGTGGATTTTAGAACTAAATTTCAGTGCATCCATAGGATGGAATAGTAACCGTTGAAGGTGTGACTAGATAGAGACTTATTTTGACATGCGAAGATGTACTTTACTATACCAAGTGAGAAAAAAAATTGTTTTGATTGTACGTACACACATACTATACCCCTGTTTTAGCTGAAAATATGTACCAAATGTGATTACATTTATTTCTGGGCATTTGTACTATAAGGAACTTTTTTTTCTTATCTGTGATTTCTGCAATGAGCATGTATAAAAGTTATAGTAAAAGCTTGTTATTAATGAAATAATCTTTGGGAAAGCAGAATATATGAGATTTGCTCAGATAAAAATAATTTCTCACTTTCTATTATTTTTATGGTTTGGTCTTTTCGGTGAACTTTTAGCCTCTTCTGGAGAAAGGGGAATCCTTTTGTCTGTGCTTAAAGGTTTTATTATGAATACATTTTTGTTATATACATATGTTTTAATTATATATAGATTTACTACCTATATGCAAAAAATAGATGAAAATTTTAGTTGTTATGTTCTTATGAAAATAAAAAATAGCAAATATAAGTGATTATTACTATTGTAAAAGTATTGCTTTATTTTCTGGGAGTTTTCTTTTAAAATATTGAACTCCCAAGCTGTATTTATCCATTTTTTGTTTTTATAAAAAAAGTTTTTTTGAGGCAGGCTCTCACCCAGGCTGGAGTGCAGTGGCACAATTATGACTCACTGCAGCCTCGACCTCCTGTGCTCAAGTGATCCTCTCCTCAGCCTCCTGAGGAGCTGGGACTGCCAGGGTGCACCACTGTGCCTGGTTAATTTTTGTACTTTTTGTAGAGACAGGGTTTCACTATGTTGTCCAGGCTAGTCTCAAACTCCTGCACCCAAGCAATCCTCCCACCTTGGCCTCCCAAAGAGCTGGAATTACAGACATGAGGCACCATGCACAGCCTCTATTCTTTCAATTGATTTATTCGTCAAACATAAGCTGAATACCTGTCATGTAGCACACATATATTACTATTTTTCAGGACCCTTTTGTCCTTAAAACTTCATATTTACCTGCCCAGTTTGAGCAAGCTGAAAGATTTAATATTGGAATATTAGAACTTAGTCTCAATTGAAGCTTTTCCTCCCTCCTTTCAAACAAAAGCACTTCTGAAGGTAGAAAATAGCAAAATAAAACTTTTTTTTTTGAGACGGAGTCCCTGTCCCCCAAACTGGAGTGCAACGGTGTGATCTTGGATCACTGCAACCTCTGCCTCCTGGTTTCAAGTGATTCTCTTGCCTCAGCTTCCAGAGTAGCTGGGATTACAGGCGTGTGCCTAAGTTTTGTATTTTTAGTAGAGATGGGATTTTGCCATGTTGGCCAGGCTGGTCTCAAACTCCTGACCTCAGTTGGTCCACCAACCTCAGCCTCCCAAAGTGCTGGGATTATAGGCGTGAGCCACCATGACTGGCTGCAAAATAGAATTTTTAACTGCCCTTTTGAAAATTTATAACAGTTTTAAATGTGAATATTAATCATTGGAAGTGCCTAATTTACATTCATTCTATAAATCTAAATAGAAAATAAGCAATACTCTTTCATTTGAATTCTGAGTTTCTTTTGGCTTAAAGTGTTTTTTCAAAATCAAAGTAAGAATGAGTTTGTTTTAAACATTTGTTGTCATCTTCATTTTCAGTCCTCTTGTTCTATAGTACTTTTGAGAACTAAAATTTATTTAAATGCAATTTATATGACTAGAACTCCCCTAGATGTGGTTGTATATATTAATTCTACTTATTGCAAGGCGTCATGGATTGTGTGATACCCCATCATTTTGTATCTCAATAAGAGAATTATTTAAATGTGGCCAATTTTAGTTGTAATAAGTCAAGGATTATAAGTGGGATTCTAATGTTAGAGAAGTTAAAATATGAACAAATGAGCAACTTATAATTATCAAAATACAATGTTACCTCTAATGTTTAAACATACCTCAAAGTAGATATAATTGTATCATTTTACTTAACTAAAATCTTGTCTTCGTTAAGTAGTAGCATTAGTAATAATTATAATAGCTAACAAATATTGAGGTGTTATTTGTGCTAGGAACTGTTCTCAATACTTTGCATAGAGTCTCATGGAAGCATCAAAATAGTGTCCTGTGAGACAGTCAATATTTTTAACCCCCATTTTATTAATTAGGAAATTGAGGCAAGAAAGACTAAGTAATAGGTAGGTAATGGCAGAGTTTAAAGTAGGATTCCCGTCCAAGTTGAACTGAATTCAAAGGCCAAAGTATTTCTATTGAAATAGGCTACTCTTTATGTAGTGAGTAACAATAGTGGGTAAAAAGTATGATTGCCTTACAAAAAATTTAATATTTATTTGGAAGGTAGAGAAATCACATGCTACTCAATGTTTATAGTTATATAGATGATTTTAGGTCTTCAGATGATTTTATGTTTTCAGATAGTTTCTTAAAAATGTTGTCTCCCTTTCATAGGACTGCCCTGCATTTGGCCTGTGTCAATGGCCATCCAACGGTGGTAGCTCTTTTGGTGAACAGTGGATGTCAACTTAATGTCTTTGATGACAAAAACAGGATAGCTCTGGTAAAGGTACATAGTAGCCAACGATTTCAGCATGAGATGAATTTGGTACAAATACATAGAATAAAATATGATTCATCTTGTTTAAGCATAACTCATATTGGTGAAAGTTGTGGAATGCTTATTTTGAACTCCTAGAATTTACAATCTATTGTTTGATCTGATACTGACAGGCGGTACAATGCCAGAAAGAGGAATGTGCGACTACTTTGCTAAAACACGGCGCTGACCCAGATCTTCCAGATGTCTATGGCAATACTGCCCTACATTATGCTGTCTACAATGAGGATATCCCAATGACCAAAAAACTGCTTTTGCATCATGCCAATATTGGATTAGCAAACAAGGTATAGATCAACCAACTTTATTTTCAAAATATTTGAAATGCATTTGTTGCATTGACTGAAGTATGGGTCAGTTTTTCATGTTTGGAAGCTCCAGCATAACCTAAATAAAAATATTTGGAAATAATTATAAAACTTTAAATATTGATACTTTTAAAGACGCATTAGAGGGTACATCTTTTTTACGTATGGTAAACAATTTTGAAAACACTGAATTTGTAAAAGGTAATGCTTTTTAATTTTTTTATCCCAGGTTTTTTTTTTTTCTAATTAGTATACAATGATCCTGGAAAGTAGAATTTGCTCTGGAATTAGGCTTTATCTTAAAGTGCCAAGAAAACTAAAACATTTTAAATAAACAGAAATCTTGGTGCTGGTGACAAGTTCCTACATAGAGTAATATATATGAAAGTGATTTGACTCTCAGTGGTGGGGCTTAAGAGGGAAAAATGGAAAGGGAAAGGAAAGCAATCAGAAATATGCAGGCCAATTTGGAAATTAGGTAATTGAGGGAAAAGACCAAGAAGATTTTTTGTTGTTTTTTGCTTTTGTTTGCTTCTTTGTTTCCGGTTTATGTGTCTAGACAAGATTCTTTTCAGTTTTGAGGATTATAGTTTTCAGTTTGGGAGACAGTTAATGAGTTGTACACTTGTCTAGAGATCAATTTTAGGAGGACTGTGAGGAAACCAGATTGGCTGTAAATAGTTGGTGATGAAGTGGGAAACCCTTAAGCAAGTAATTAACCGACTTATCCTATTCTGGCAGAAACAGCCACTTAGATAAATGTCTAAACGCTGTTCTCAAATCCAGACTGTCTTGAGGATAAGGTGGGAGATAAGGAGTTTATATATAGCAAAGTCAAGTTGGATTTTGAGTTTACTAGCCCCTATTCTTCTTCTACCCAAACAAATTATGTGGAGTTTTCAGTAAATAACTCTCTCTTACTCTTTCCTCTTTTTGGCCAAATCCTCAAAGAAAAAGGTAATTTGTCATATGGTGAGACATGACGGAAGTAATTGTCGATTGGACTAGTTCTCAGCTAGAATTGTGCATAACCGTAATCTAGGGAAATTTTAAAAAAATCTACAAAGCCAACCTCTCCTCTGACGATTTTGATATAGTAAATCCAATAAAGTCTAGACATGTATGTTTAAAAATATTTCCTTGGAGCCAGGCACGGTGAGATATGGCTGCAGTCCCAGCCACTCAGGAGGCTGAGGTAGGGGTATTGCTTGAGCCCAGGAGTTTAAATCTAACCTGGTCAACGTAGTAAGACCCCATCTCTGACTAAGTAACAGTAAGTTCCTCAGAATTCTGATACATGCCTGGTTAAGAATCACTAAATAGGTAAGTGTAATATATAAATTACCATCTCCCAAAACTCTTCTAGAGTTAAGAAATCTCTAGAAAAGTAGGCGTTTGATAGGTACTACTTTAGATTTCTCCTTTTCAATAATATTAGCCCATTTTTCTTTACCTTTGTGGTTGGGAAGCTAAAAGAAATATTACTGGCAATAGATGGCACATTTTCCTTCCCGCCATTAATTATTCACTGCCATTCAGAGAGTCTTTATAAATTTGCTCTGGGTAGTCTTTCTTTTTTTAAATTTTTTTGAGACAGGATCTTGCTCTGTCACCTAGGCTGGACTGCAGTGGCACAATCACAGCTCAGTGCAGCCTCAACCTCCAGGAGCTCAAGTGATCCTCCTACCTTAGCCTCCTGAGTAACTGAGGCTACAAACATATACCATCATGCCAAGCCAATTTTTAATTTTTTTATAAATACAGGGTTTCACTATGTTACCCAGGCTGGCCTCAAACTCTGTGCTCAAAGAGTCCCGCATCAGCTTCCAAAAGCGCTGGGATTAAAGATATGAGCTACTGCACTCAGCCTGGGAAGTATTTCACTAAGTGGAGGCTGACCCCTTCAGGACTTCACATCTCTTTGTTAACATTCATGTGATTAGGTCAATAAATCTTTATTACCAGTGGAGTTTCCTCAATTAGAATTGTAGCAAATTCTAAACCTCTTTTTCATTGAAGCTGTATTATGGGCTATATCATTGTGTCTGTTCATAGAGTTTAGGCATAATCAGGATGACAGTTTTAAACCCTGAAAACCATGAAGTTACTAAGAGTACAGACAGAAATTTTTTTAACAATTTAGTTTCATCATTCCTATGAACTAAATATTTGGTTGACAATCTCAGAAAACTACTTACTAATAGATTTTAAATGAATAAATGTTAGAAAAATTATTGAAGTGGGTACTGTGAGTCTTAGAAGCAAATTTTATTACATGTTGGGGACAGTTTTTCTGGTGAAACATCCAAAACCAAAGAAAGAAAATAGTTTACATGCAAATACTTGCTTTATACACAACCATGTGGTAACATATCCACGGCAAGTTAAAAAATGCAAGGGCTACGGTCTAAATGTGGCCCATAGGTATGTTTCACTTGCCTTCATAAATTGTGTCAACATGTAAAATTTAGGAGACTAATACATAAATCTGGATTTTAGGCTTCTCTTAAGCATCAAATCTGGTGTCCCTTGAGCTCATATCACTGTTTGGTCTGTTGCGCAGAGGTTGCCCCTTTCTATGAGGCCTGTGTTCTCTAGTTTGCCGTGGTGCCCATCTAGGCACCTCACTTAGGCCTCCCCCTTTGCCCTTGTAAGCATTTGACAACTCTCATCTTATAGTGTATTTTGATAAAGATGTCAAGGCTTTCAAGACAGTTTCTATTTGTTTATAATATATAATCTATATTTTATATAAATCCCTTAGCATTGGGCTTGAATTCGAAAATTTAGAAGTTTTTAAAAAACTGATAAATTCTATATTCTTTTTATTTATGGTACATATTCTTTATATTTAATGTAAGATAACTCTTATTCTTTATATTTGCCATATATAAGCACCTTCTGATTAGCATGCCTGTAAGTCTTTCTAGCTGGATATGTTATGCATATTGCAGACAACATTATATCTTTCTCCTCAGCATTATTCCTTAGAAATGCAAGTGATTTAGTGACTTCCATCATGATAGGGATAGATAGATCAGTAGGAGAACTTTTAATGATAAGTCATTGTATTTTTATTTCTTATTCCTATTTTTTCCTAAAATAAAATGTAAAAAAAAGTGCTGGGATTACAGGCATAAGCCACCGCCCCAGCCAAAACTGAATTTTAAAAGTAGATTTGAGGCTGGGCATAGTGACTCACGCTATAATCCCAGGACTTTGGGAGGCCAAGGTGGGTGATCACCTGTAGTCAGGAGTTCTAGACCAGCCTGACCGGCATGGTGAAATCCCGTCTCTACTAAAAATACAAAATTAGCTAGGCGTGGTGGCGCATGCCAGTAGTGCCAGCTACTTGGGAGGGTGAGACAGGAGAATTACTTGAACCCCGGGAGGCGGAGATTACAGTGGGCCAAGATCCTATCATTGCATTCCAGCCTGGGTGACAGAGCGAGACTCCATCTCCAAAAAATAAAAATAATAAAAAATAATAAAAAAAATAAAGGCCGGATGCAGTGGCTCACGCCTGTAATCCCAGCACTTTGGGATGCCAAGGTAGGCAGATTACCTGAAGTCAGGAGTTTGAAACCAAACTAGCCAACATATTGAAACCCCGTCTTTACTAAAAATATAAAAATTAGCTGGGTGTGGTGGCAGGCACCTGTAATCCCAGCTACTTGGGAGGCTGAGGCAGGAGAATTGCTTGATCCTTGGAGGCGGAGGTTGCAGTGAACTGAGATCATGCCATTGCGCTCCAGCCTGGGCGAGAGAGCCAGACTCCATCTCAGGAAAAAAAAAATTAAAATAAGTAGATATGCATTAGGGTCCTATGATTAGAATGACAATTGAGAATAACATTTTATATAGAAGTTTCTAATGGCTAAAATAAAAATCTGTTGTCTTTAAAAAGGAGAAAACTCATGGATCATTTACTAATAAGCAGTGGAAGTTCATTTGAAGCTGATTTAATTCACAGACCATTTTCTCAGTGATTCATTTGCAGCAGGAGTGCCTGACATTGGCATCTGGGATTCTGACACCATTGACAGAAGAGAAGCAAGTGAGTTTGTATGTAACCTGGAGGAAACCTCCGCCTTACTGGAAAGCTCTCACAGCTGTAGCCCTGAAATTCTGATTTCTCAAATGCCAATGTTTGCCACAAAACAGTGTTATCAAAAAGGGATTAGGCGAAGTGTAAGAGATTTCTTGACTACTGGACATATAATGCACAGTTCTGTACCATTTCTCAAACATCTACGATCATGGAATCCTTCTGTTGGAGTACAGTCTTTAACATCTGGTAAACATTCTTTGGAATGCAGTGTAAGAAACACTGCTCTAGAGGCAATAATTTAGATCATAAATGAAAACACTTGAAGCATTTACTAATATTTCTTAAGACTTGGGGGCATAGATATAGAAGATAAAGCCCCTGCTCTCAAGAAGCTCTTGGTTTACATGGAAAATAGTAAAATCATTGCAATATACTATGCTAAGTGCTGTGACAGAAGCAAAGATGATTGGCCCTGGTATTGAAGTGAGTTTTGGAGATGACCAGACTTCATGTGTGAGGTGGTTTTTCCATGGGAAGGAACAGCAAACGGAAAAGCACAGAAGAATAAAAAGGAAGGGACTACTTATTATTTAATTTCTATATTGTATGTTTAAGTCTGTAGGATCTTACATAAATATGAGGTTTCCAATTCAGATGAGAAGTATGTAATTTTGTGAGTTATCGGTTCTTCTTGCTGTTTTCCAGGATGAACTCACACCATTTTTACTAGCTGTACATGAAGAAAAACAGGAAATGGTAGAATTTTTAATAAAGCAAGAAGAAAATTTAACTGCAGTTAAGTTTGAAAGGTACAGTAATTAGTTTTTTTAAAAAGCTGGCTGATATTCTATAGTGATAACAGTCTCTCTAGTTAGAAATACCAGATTAATAAGATTAACATAATTCTTGTGATATAGTAAAAAATATCAACACAAATCATTGGCTAAGTAGAAAAACTATTTAGGCTGGACAACATAGAGAACAGTATATAGTAGGAGTCATCTTTTCTTATTATATTGACTGGTGTTTGTTATTTGTAATGTGATGTCTTTGGTCATATGATCTGACCAAAGCGTTTTTATATTGGTTTTATTAGTTTTATGAAATGTGGATTTTAACTTTTAGTATACTTTAAGACTTAATAAATATTGAACTTCTTAACCCTTTTATAGCAGTTTTTTTAACCTCTGTTTCTTATATGCGCTTCCTTTAAACATGCTATATTAGACATAAATAGGAGTTGAAAATCATTATTTCTTCTAGATCACTTTTTAAGTTGCTTCTTTTGAAAAATAGTAATGTTAAGTTATTCCTACATGGTTGTTAATTGCTATTACCAGATACTTTGGGTTCGTTAATTTTCTTCTATTTCATGTCTAGTGTATTTTGATGTCATTATTATTATTATTGTATTGTAGGCAGAGTCTCGCTCTGTCGCCCAGACTGGAGTGCCCTGGCACAATCTTGGCCCACTACAACTTCTTCCTCCCGAGTTCAAATGATTCTCCTGCCTCAGCCTCCCGAATAGCTGGGACTACAGGCACGCGCCACCATGCCCAGCTAATTTTTTGTATTTTCAGTAGAGACGGGGTTTCACCATGTTAAACAGGATGGTCTCGATCTTCTGACCTCGTGATCCGCCCTCCTTGGCCTCCCAAAGTGCTGGGATTATAGGCTTGAGCCACTGTTCCCAGCCCTGATGATTTTATTTGTAATTGCTATGGGAAGAGGGAGAAAATAGAGCTTTAAATGAATAGCCTTTTCTTCTAAGGAAGACAAGCCATATATAGGTGGGTAATAAAGAGAAAAGAGCTAGGCTTTAGATTCACACAAGACTGGGTTTAAATCCTAGCTCTCTCTTGTTAGGTGTGTGAGCTGGGAACATTACTTATCACCAAATATGTTTTTCTATATGAAAAGGAGGATAATTAATATATCCTTCAAGGGTGATTGTGTGGAAGAAAGATTATATATATATGTATGTGTATGTAGCATTTAATTCAGTGCCTAGGACATGTGTTTAGGCATCATCAACTGCAACTACTATTATTACCATTATTATCGTTTCCTGCCTGCAGACAGCTCTTACTTATCTGACCCCTAGCTGGTTTTGAATTACAATATATCTGTCTTTAAATCTTTGCTTGCATTAGGTAAGTGACCTCAGCATAGTTTCTTGCTCATCAAAGAACTTTAAATTAGCAACTTCTATGATGTAATACCCTACTGGGACAAGAGGCTTCCTTTTTGTCCCCCCACTTTTTTTTTTAGCATTGGTGGTACTTTATGAAGATGAACACTCAGGCACCCAAGATGCTTATGTTTGTTAGTACACGTAAATGTTTTAATTCTACATGAACAGGCAAGATATTAAATTGGCAAAAATATCAAATTAGCTTTTTAAATAACTTTCTTAAAGTTCCTGAGAAAGAAGTTATCTCTCTGGTATTTTTGAACAGCCCTCATTCTTGCTGTACATTGTGCATCAGCAAGTATAGTCAGCCTTCTTCAGCAAAATGCTGATGTTTTCTCAAGATCTGTCTGGATGGACTGCAGAAAATTATGTCATTTCTAGTCCTTTTACTAGGCAAGCTTTTACATTAGAAGGCTAGGTTACACTGAATTGCAGCTTAAAATAATTATAGCTATTGTATCCTATATATCAGGTGATATTTTATAGTTTAATTCAGGTCATCTTGGGGTGACAGTCCACTTTGTCAGCCGGAAATCAGGTAAAATCCTACTAGACTGGTTAGAAGTATCAATGGGTGCATAATTCTTTTTCTCAGGACTTTTGAGATCTTTGTCTTAGAGATCCAATCATTTCCCATTTACTCCAAGTATAGCCACATGCACAGGATAAAAATAGTGTCAGATCGCTGATTTTTCTAATTAGTTATTTGGGTCTTGAAATGTTCAGATTAGCAGAAAATCTTGTACTATCTTCTGAGAGCTATCCTCCTCCTTGAATTTTTCAAGAATGTAAGGGGTTTCCTAAGTGCAAGAAGAAAAAAAAAAAGACAATCCTTTACCAGTGAGAAGGAAGGGAAGAAAACAACATTGTAACCATTCTGTTGTTTCCATTGATTCTTTTCCTGCATTATTGCCAATAAAAGTGGTTCTGCGGTCTGTTAATGCTTGACTTTTTCATCAGGATTCACTTACTGCTTCAGAGTACTCAGTTTTCGTGGTGATTCATGCATAGACTTTATAGTTACAACTTTTTTTTAGCTAACAAATATGTATGCTTAGCCATTGTTCCCAAAGCATCCTGCTCTGACAGCTGGGCATTCTAGCTTTAGCCACACACATGGTGAGAAAATTGACCAAACTTCCTCCACATTCAAAACCTTATGTGGAGCCCCCATCTTAGCCTAGACATAGCCCAGGACTTCATGGTAAGTTATCCTTTGAGGCCTTGTTTGTCTTTTCTCTATCAAACATTAGTTGAGATTGTTCTAACCTGTTAAAGAGGATCAAATTATGTTGCAGAAAGAGATCAGTGTTTTCTTACTCCATTGCCACCAGATCTGTACCCTGAGGCTCCTTTATATCCTATTCAGCACATTTTCTTAGGTAGTGGAAGTTTCGATATTATCCTTCCCCACAGCATGGGTGCCAATTTGTGGGGTTTTTCTCTTTGCTTTTCTTTTTCCAATTTGTAGTTTTATCCTCAAGTAATCTTGTTTTCCACAATAATGAAAATCTCCCAAATTACTTGCATCTCTACCTTAAGTTTTAAAAATATTTTCATATTCTACCTCACAGGAAGCCATTCAACAGAATTCTCTGAATCTCAAGTAGGTTTATTGGGTTTATCAGAGCTAAGCCTCATCCATGACTGATGATGAGTATTCACATATAAAGTAGGGTTTTATGCTTGCTTCAGCAGCTCACATACTAATACTGGAATAATACAGAGAAAATTAACATGGCTCCTGCATAAGGATGACACAGAAATTCATGAGGTGATTCATATTTTGTGCAGTCCCTGGAAGGTCCTTTGACAATTTTCTGATTAGCTCCAAGGAAACAGCATGAGTAAAAGCAAAATGGTTGGCACTTAATATTGAAATTGTGATCTTCACCATCAAAATATCTTGATCTATGGAATGAGAATGGAGCTGAGTAAAGCATGCAGATGTTGTGTGCAAATATATTATTAGTATGTATCTCAGAAATGAGAAGATGTCACCTTGCATCTCCTTCATGGAACTTAAAAAAATAGTTTTATCTTTTGTGTCAAATGGAGGTAAACATGGAGATTAAGCATCATTCTACAAAGATCTGTTGGCTCAGAGTTTGAGCCTGTAAAGAAAAATCATAGTCCAAGGCAGGTCTTGATATCCGTTAGTTTTCTGCCCTTGGTGTGACTGATGAGCTCAGTAACAGTGGATAATTATGTTATCTAATTTAATGAGATAATATGTTTATGAATAAATGTAGTTACAAACTATGAAATATATGAGATGCCCTAAATTAAAAGCCACAAAGAGTAGAACACCTAATAAACAAAATTAGGATTTAATAACATTTCCCCAAAACCACAATGTTTCAATATTAGAACATATAAAAAACACATTGGACTTTATTTGCAGTTCCAAGATAGTTTCACCAAGTTCAAGAACAAATTATTTCATTGCTTCACTATTTTTCTGAGCATTCAAAACATGTTATCTCATTAAATTTTTATAACAACCTAGTGAAATAAGACAGTAAAATTCTCACTTTTTAGAAGAAGACATTGAACCTAACAAAAGCAACTTACCCAAGAACTAATAGCTTTTGACTATAGAGCTAGGGCTTTTTCTGAGTTAGGACACTTTCCATTATGTCAGGCTAATGCAAATTAATTTACTGAACTATACTGCCTTCAATTCATGAGTACTTCATGTTACTTTTTTTCTTCTTTAATTTGAAGCTTAAAGAGAAGTTTGTAGAGCTTGCAAATGAGAAGTGTATGGGATAATTAAAGTTCTAAAATTAACACCAATATTATGTGAAATACTCTAAGAATTTATTTGGTAATTGTTTTTATATCAGTTTTAAAATAGTAATTTCACTTATTGCATTTTTAGACATAGCATTCACCAACTAATGCTTGAATACAAAGAAAATAAGACATCTGGAAATCCTCAAAATAGCAATGCAGGTAAGACTTCCAGGTAAATTACTCTTGGTGATCTTACCATAGATTAACAAATAAAAGTAAGGAAGTTTTAATTACCAAAGAGCAGCTTAAAAACTCACTATGTAAATTGTATATATATATATATGTGTGTGTTTTAAATTTCTTCTTAGTAGGTTAGAGTTCAGAATTATTAAAAAAGCTATGTGTAGATAATTCATAATCTCAAACAGTATTATCTGAAAGGAATCATTTCTTTAATTGTAGTCCCTAAAATCTTATATGATATTTTTTGTATAAGTAAGAAAAAAGATTTTTAAGTTAGTAAGTGGTATGTTTTATTTATAGTCTCATTATAACAAATGGAATGTGTTACGAAATTGGAGCATCTATTTAATTTTTTAAATAAATGGTTTTTGTTTAGTAAATAAATATCAATTACAGTTGACCTTTGAACAACATGGGATTTAGGGGTACTGTTCCCCTGTGCAGCTGAAAATCTGTGTATAACTTTTGACTACCCCCAAAATTAGCTACTAATAAGTTATTATTGACCAGAAACAGTCAGTTAAGACATTTGGTATGTTACATGTGTTACCATATTATATTCGTATAAGAAAGTGAGGTAGAGAAAAAATTGTTATTAACAAAATCATAAGGAATATAAATATATTTACTATTTAATTAAGTGGAAGTGGGTCATCCTCATCTTCTCCAAGTTGAATAGGCTGAGAAGGAGGAAGAAGGAGATTGGTCTTGCTGTCTCAGGTGGTAGAGGTGGAAGGAAATCTGCATATAATTACAGCACTGCAGGTCAAGTTCCTATTATTCAAAGGTCAACTGTATTACATAGTGATATATGTCACTAAAAAAAAGTAACTTTTTTAAACTGGGAACTACACAATACCTTTTTGGTAACATAACAAATGTCACTAAGAACCATAAAACTTATCCAGTGGGCACTAATACTAATAGAAGATTATTTTTTAAAGATACTGAGTGTAGAAATCAGAAAAGGAATTTCTTGTTGAAAAGCACATGTCAAGAGCTAGAGGAGCAAGATCAAAAAAACTCAAAACCTGGCAGAAGACAAGAAATAACTAAGATCAGAGCAGAACTGAAGGAGGTAGAGACACAAAAAAACCGTTCAAAAAATCAATAAATCCAGGAGCTGGTTTTTTGAAAAGATCAACAAAATAGACAGACCACTAGCCAGATTAACAAAAAAGAAAAGAGAGAATAACCAAATAGATGCAATAAAAAACGATAAAGGGGATATCACCACAGATTCCACAGAAATTCAAACTGTCATCAGAGATTATTACAAACAACTCTGCACATAAACTAGTAAACCTGGAAGAAATGGATAAATTCCTGGACACTTGCCTCCTCCCAAGCCTAAACCAGGAAGAAGTCGAAACCCTGAATAGACCAATAACAAGGTCTGAAGTTGAGGCAGCAATTAAGAGCCTATCACCCAAAAAAAGCCCAGGTCCACATGGGTTCACAGCCAAATTCTACCAGACTTATAAAGAGGAGCTGGTACCATTCCTTCTGAAACTATTCCAAATAATCCAAAAAGAGGGAATCCTTCCCAAATCATTTTATGAGACCAACATCATCCTGATTCCAAAACCTGGCAGAGACTCAACAAGAAAAGAAAACTTCAGGCCAACATCCATGATGAACATAGATGCAAAAATCTTCAATAAAATACTGACAAGCCGATTGCAACAGCACATCAAAAAGCTTATCCACCATGATCAAGTAGGCTTCATCCCAGAGATGCAAGGCTGGTTCAACATACGCAAGACTATAAATGTAATTCACCACATAAACAGAACCAAAGACAAAAACCACATGATTATCTCAATTGATGCAGAGAAGGCCTTTGACAAAATTCAACAGCCCTTTGCTAAAAACCCTCAATAAACTAGGTACAGCTAGTGCTCAACTTACGATCATGGTCGGGACAGCAGACCAGTCGTAACACGATTTGGTCGTAAGTTGAGTAGGCTATATGTACAGTTGAAATGGTGCACGCGGAGATGGTAGTGCTGCTGGAAGCTGGTCCGCACTGTCGTACGCCCAGCTGGGCAATGTTTGCGCTGCCAGATGTGGAGCAGTCGTGGCTAGCGATTGTGGTCGTAAAGTTGAATGGTCATAAGTTGCATAGGTGGTAAATCGATCAATACCTGTATTGACGGAATGTATCTCAAAATAATAAAAGCTATTTACAACAAACCAACAGCCAATATCATACTGAATGGGCAAAAACTGGAAGCACTCCCTTTGAAATCTGGCACTAGACAAGGATGCCCTGTCTCACCACTCCTGTTCAATATAGTACTGGAAGTTCTAGCCAGAGCAATCAGGCTAGAAAAAGAAATAAAGGGTATTCGAATAGGAAAGGAGGAAGTCAAATTGTCTATTTGCAGACGACATGATTGTATGTCTAGAAGGCCCCATCGTCTCAACCCAAAATCTCCTGAAACTGATAAGCAACTTCAGCAAAGTCTCAGGATACAAAATCAATGTGCAAAAATCACAAGCATTCCTATATGCCAATAGCAGACTTAAAGAGAGCCAAATCAAGAACGAACTGCCATTCACAATTGCCACAAAGAGAATAAAATACCTAGGAATACAACTAACAAGGAACGTAAAGGACCTTTTCAAGGAGAACTACAAGCCACTGCTCAACGAAATAAGAGAGGACACAAACAGATGGAGAAACATTCCGTGTTCATGGTTAGGAAGAATCAATATCGTGAAAATGGCCATACTACCCAAAGTAATCTACAGATTCTACGCTATCCCCATCAAGCTACCAATGACCTTCTTCACAGAACTGGAAAAAACCACCTTAAACTTCATATGGAACCAAAAGAGAGCCCGCATAGCCAAGTCAATTCTAAGCAAAAAGAACAAAGTGGGAGACATCACACTACTGGATTTCGAAATATACTACAAGGCTACAGTAATCAAAACAGCATGATACTGGTACCAAAACAGAGATATAGACCAATGGAACAGAACAGAGGCCTCGGAGGCAGCACAACATATCTACAACCATCTGATCTTTGACAAACCTGACAAAAACAAGCAATGGGGAAAGGATTCCCTGTTTAATAAATGGTGTTGGGAAAACTGGCTAGCCATGTGCAGAAAGCAGAAACTGGTCCCCTTCCTGACACCTTACACTAAAATTAACTCCAGATGGATTAAAGACAAACATAAGACCTAACACCATAAAAACCCTAGAAGAAAATCTAGGCAAAACCATTCAGGACATAGGCATAGGGAAGGACTTCATGACCAAAACACCAAAAGCATTGACAACAAAAGCCAAAATAGACAAATGGGACCTAATCAAACTCCACAGCTTCTGCACAGCAAAAGAAACAGTCATTACAGTGAATCGGCAACCAACAGAATGGGAAAAAAAAATTTGCAGTTTACCCATCTGACAAAGGGCTGATATCCAGAAGTTACAAAGAGCTAAAACAGATTTATAAGAAAAAAACAAACAAGCCCATTCAAAAGTGGGCAAAGGATATGAACAGATACTTTACAAAAGAAGACACACATGAAGCCAACAAACATATGAAAAAATGTTCATCATCACTGGTCATCAGAGAAATGCAAATCAAAACTGCATTGAGATGCCATCTCACGCCAGTTAGAATGGCAATCATTAAAAAATCTGGAGAGAACAGTTGCTGGAGAGGATGCGGAGAAATAGGAACATTTTTACACTGTTGATGGGAGTGTAAATTAATTCAACCATGCCGAAGACAGTGTGGCAATTCCTTAAGGACCTAGAAATAGAAATTCCATTTGACCCAGCAATCCCATTACTCAGTATATATCCAAAGGATTATAAATCGTTCTACTATAAGGACACATGCACACGAATGTTCATTGCAGCACTGTTTACCATAGCAAAGACCTGGAACCAACCTAAATGCCCACTGATGATAGACTGGACAGGTAAAATGTGGCACATATACACCATGGAATATTATGCAGCCATAAAAAACGATGAGTTCGTGTCCTTTGTAGGGACATGGATGAACCAGGAAACCATCATTCTCAGCAAACTGACACAAGAGCAGAAAATCAAACACTGCATGTTCTCACTTATAGGTGGGTGTTGAACAATGAGAACACATGGACACAGGGAGGGGAGCACTACACACTGGGGTCTGTTGGGGGGAAATATGAGAGGGACAGCAGGGGTGGGGAGTTGGGGAGAGATAGCATGGTAAAAAATGCCAGATATAGGTGATGGGGA